AAAACTGGCTCAGTCATAGAAGGCAGAGGGTAGCAGTGGAAGGATGCGTTTCTGAATGGAAGGCTGTGACTAGTGGCCTTCCTCAGGGATCAGTGTTGGGACCTTTGCTGTTTGTAATATATACAAATAACTTGGAGGAAAATGTAACTGGTCTGATTAGTAAGTTTGCCAATGACACAAAGGTTGGTGGAATTGCGGATAGCGATGAGGACCATCAAAGGATACAGCAGGATATAGATGGGTTGGTGACTTGGGCAGAGAGATGGCAGATGGAGTTTAATCCAGAAAAATGTGAGGTAATGCATTTCGGAAGATCTAATCCAAATGGAAAATATACAGTAAATGGCTGAACCCTTAAGAGTACTGATAGGCAGAGGGATCTGGGTGTACAGGTACACAGGTCACTGAAAGTGGCAACGCAGGTGGAAAAGGTCATCAACAAGGCATACGGCATGCTTGCCTTCATTGGCCAGGGCATTGAGTTTATAAATTGGCAGGTAATGTTGCAGCCTTTAAAACGTTAGTTCGGCTGCATTTGGAATATTGTGTTCAATTCTGGTCACCAAACTACCAGAAGGATGTGGTGGCTTTGGAGAGGGTACAGAAAATATTTACTGGGATGTTGTCTGGTATGGAGGGTATTAGCTATGAGAAAAGGTTGGAGAAACTTGGGTTGTTCTCACTAGAACGACGGTGGTTGAAGGACGACCTGATAGAAGTCTACAAGATTATGAAGGGCATGGACAGAGTGGACAGTGAGAAGCTTTTTCCCAGGGTGGAAGCGTCAGTACTAGGGGGCATAGGTTTAAGGTGCAAGGGGCAAGGTTTAAAGGTGATGTATGAGGCAAGTTTTTTTACACAGATGGTGGTGGGTGCCTGGAACTTGCTGCCGGGGGAGGTAGTGGAAGCAGATACAATAGTGACTTTTAAAGCGCATCTTGACAAGTACATGGACAGGATGGGAATAGAGGGATATGGTCCCCAGAAGGGTAGTGATGGGCAGCATGTCGGTGCAGGCTTGGATGGCCAAAGGGCCTGTTTCTGTGCTGAAATTTTCTTTGTTGTTTTTTGTAAATAGGACTAGGTGAGTTTAGGATATCTGGTCAGCATGAACGAGTTGGACTGAAGCATTTGTTTCCGTGTTGTATAACTCTTGACTCTATGTGAGGATAGGGCAGTAAACTGAAGTTGAGGTACAAGATCTTGTTGAACACAGGAAAGATAAAAGCTCTAGGGGCCAAATGAGCTATTTCTTATGTTCTTTTTACAGGACTTCCTCCTGAATTCTCTACTGGACTTATTTTTGACTATGTTATATTTGTGGTCATAGTTTTAATCTTCTCCATAAGTTGAAGTAAGTTCTTTATGTATACTTTCCCAATTCCAATAGATCCCTATTATGTCACCCTCAAACACCCAAAAAGAGCCTTGGTCAGCTTTTCCTGATAAGTATATTCTTTCAATTCTGGTATCAGCCTTGTGATTTTGTTTTTGGTCTAACATAAGATGTAATACATATTTAACATAGCATCTCTGTTTTTCAGTGCCAGCTCTGTCAAAATTCTTTTACTTTTTATATAGACTCATTAAACTATGCTGCTACTTTTAGTGATTGACATATCTGTATCCATAGATCTCTTTGCTTTTATACTTAATTTATATTGTTATCCAAGCAGGATACAATGATCTTATTCTTCCTACAAACGTATTATGCATCACACACAGATTGAAATTCATTTGGCTTTTACTCATTCCTTCTTTAAACCAATGCATGATCTGAGATTTGCCTAGGGTCTGGTCAAGTAAAAAATCTGGACAACGACTTTTTATCATTACATAACAGGAGGTTGTTAGGAGGCTATGTCACTTGGAAATGTTGGCTTCAGGAGTTTAAATTCCCTTGTGCACTACTTTTAACACAACGACTGGTTGACAGGTTTCCATCAAATTCCTCTTTGGACTATTTTAGCAGTCATTAACCTAATTACTTAAACAGGTTAATGACATAGTTAAAATGCTGCACACATAAGTTGGATACAAACATGCCAAACTGGACACTACCAACGGCTTTCAGGTAATGCAGTCTTCATGATTACTTCCTAAGGGAGCCGTAGCAAATTAGTCTGTTTATTCACAATTGTTCTGCTTGATATGACTTTGTTGCTATCATATTTGGATTTCTCTCTGAAGGCATGTAGGTGGAAAGGCTAAGAAACAGTACCAGTATTATTCATTGTCATTCTCCAATTAAATGGTTGGTTCGCAGGGGCATTGTGCAACGCAGAGAATTCAGGAAGCAAACTGTGAATTTTCCAAGGGGAAATAGGAACATCCAATTAAAAATGTAATTTATTAGATAACTAAAAATGCTCCAAAAGATAGGGATGAAAACATATGGGTTACTCTGTAATAACTGATTCCATATTCTGCTCTTTCTTCCTCAACTACTTCTCTATATTTTTACATTGCAAAGTGATTTTGTTCCACCATTGGCAACCACACTTTCAGTTGTCTAACTCAAGGAATTTCCTTCATAAGCCTCTCTATTTGCTCTCTGCTCCTTTAAAATATACCTTTTTTGTCTGTTAAGAATCCTATGAAGCACCTTGAGCTATTTTATTTCATTAAAGGTGTTATTTGTGCAAATTGTTACTGGTAAGAACAAATATAAAAATAACAGTTATTCTCATTATATTTCAATGTTTTTTTTTACATGTACATTCTATTCATCACCAGAAGTCAAAGTAACAATTTTATAAGCAGGAGAGAAATGTTATTGAACTCATGACAAAAGAGCCAGACCTGTAAGAGGGCAAGGAAGCCCACCTAGACGAGTAAAACTGCTTAAATAAGCACAGAATACTGGTGAAAATAGGTGGAGTCTGAAAAATGTACATTTTGCCTTGTAAAACTGGATATTGAGAAGTCAAAATAGCAGCTCTTTAATGGCTTCACTAGATGTTGCTCAATTACAAAATAGCACAGGAAATCTTTCCTTTAACATTCACATAAAAATGCCAACCATTTAGGGATGGTGAAATATATAAGTAGGCTGATTTTTCTCTCCCTTGCCCATTTTTGCATATGAGGATCAAGCACCTTGAGTTGGCTGATTAAAAAAAAACTATTACTAATTCCTTCATTAAACATACTTGAAAGAACTGAATTATGAGTGAGCAGTTTTGATTTGGACAAACCACATTCCAGATGCTTCTAACCTACACTTAACTTTCACTTTACACATGCTTTCACTTAGAATATTGGCCATATTTTCCTGAATTTAACTGGAATACCTCTGATTAAATGATGTAATTTTTAACATAATCTGAATCAGTCAGATCCTAGGAGTTCTATTACACAATGTAGACAGTTGGGAAGTTTGTAGACCACACAAAACTGCAAAATAGTTTTCAAATAAAAAACTTACTTTATTCTCTTCTTTCATAGTAGTACTAGACCTCGGAGCTCAGTCAGGAGATGTTGAGATCACTGAAATGACTTTGTTTGCAGCACAATTATACTATTTCATTTGAAATCAGGACAAATGGCACATGTAAGACTACAATTTGGTAATGCATTGAGAAGGCAGAAGCCTTACACTTCAAGATATGAAATCAATCCATCTTATAAAATGATCTTCAAATCCCACTACTGGAAGAACTCTTCCCTCAGCAAGGCTGTGTGAAAAATATAATTAACATAATTCATGGTTACTTTACTGAAGGATGATTGATGAGTGAAAGTTTCATTTTATTGGCTACACAACATTCTTAAGAATACTTAATTGAGGACTTGCATCTTCTTCCACTACAATGAATTGCCATGCATTTGTCCCTTGAGGACCTGAATGTATGCAAGGATGTTTATCTCAGGAAGTTACATGCCAATTGAATCTCTGTTGCCACCCGCTGAAATGAGTGTGACAGTCTGTCTCTGCCATACAGTGAAAATATTTACCATAGTTCACTTAAGAAACTCTCAATCCACTAGAAACACTAGACAAGCAAAGCATGCTCATAGTAACATGAGGCTAATATTATTTTTATGACTATCAAAAGTAATATTTAATCTTTCACCACTTTTGTTGGAAGAAATAACATTATCATATCTGACACTGATTTCCAGCTGCTCTACACATTACAATTACGAGGTTTGTAAGATGATGGTTTTTGACAATGACTTTAAGTCATCTCATGGCAGTGACATGGCAGTGATATCACCTGTTTTGCAGTCAGTCTGTGAGCAAGTCAGATAGTTTGAGTGTTTAAGACCAAAGTGACCCAGATCATTTTCTGTGAAGGTGGAAGGTGTTTACATTTGGAAACAATAGCAGTTTCCGTGGGCAAACTGGGAGTTTCCAAAGTACTAGAAAAGTGTTGAGAATGTTGGGTTGTAAACAGTTTTGCTGAAATTCTTTATGGCTTGCCACACAGGAATGCAGCTGGACTTTTGCACTTGCACTGGAAAATCTGTAAGCAAATAAAATGAAACTGGAGGATTTGCCTTGCTTTAGCTAGATAGATAAGACTCCAAAACTTGCACTGTGAAAGATATTCTGGAGTTAAAAGTTTTCAGGCAAGGAGAGAAAAATATCAGAAGGAAACCCAGATGAGTTATTAATAACTTTTGGACTGATTCGGGAAGAACTGAATGCCTGCTTAAAGGACAGTGCAACATATACCTGAAAGTATTTTTGTTTTCTGGTTAAAGTTCTAATCTATTCTGTACTTTAAGGTATAAATTGCCTATAAAAATAGAGTTTAGTAAACTGCTTTTAAGGCATTTACTGTAAAAGACTCAACAATGAAATCTTGTCATGTCATCCTTTCAGCCAATAACTATAAGTCTGAATTTGTCTTCTAAAAATGACTCTGTCTCTACAAAGACTGTAACACATGACATAAGTCCTTTCTGTTTTATCAAGAAAAGACTTGGCCAATGTTAAAATCTGGAATACCTCTTCTCTAATGATTTACAGTCAGGCACAAGACACAACAGGATTAGTTTCACATATCAGTTCTTTTTATTCTGTTGTCATAAAAATGTGATATGTTGCTGCCAAGGTCTCCAGTTGGTGGCAAGTTGGCAAACTTTGGGAGGGGGAGAAATGGTGGCGTCCTGCAAGAAATAGGAGCAAATTCATATGTTTTGGTCAAATGTCAACTTTATATATACATTTTACAAGTGTAAAACACCCAGAAATGTTTAGTAAGCTTTCTTTGCCATTTTAGCACCAAGAAGTAGAATGTTATTGTGTTATTGCTGGAAAGTGATTTTCCTATTACATTAACTGTACAATGGGCCTCAAGCCCTATTCACAAAGACAACTGGATGCAAAACCAGTCTTGAATGTGTTGGGACTAATCAGTTCTATACACTGCGCAGGTTCCTTTTGTGAATAAGGGCCCTGCATCCAAAATATCATGATGCAGAAGAGACAATTTTGTACTTTACAATCCATTCCAGCAATTACCTGTAAAGTCAAGCCAGGGTATTGCATGACAGTGTGTAGAAATACAGACATTGAAAAACTCTTTATGGTATCAATTTGAACAAGATGGTAATGCTAGAAAACCAGAAGGTCACACCAACATATGCTTGGTGTGAAAATACTATTGTTCTTTATTATAACATTGGCAGTGTAGTTTGGTTACGTTGGAATGCAGAGTCACATTATTTTCTTTACGATGGCTTGGGAAGTCTTGTGGCCTTTTTGGGGAGGGAATGTTCCAAAAGGGTTGCTTGTCATTTATAGCAAATTGATGTCCTTCAATTTGCAGAATGCCATATGGGGTAGGCCTCAGTGCCGGAGAGTACTGGATGCCCTGAAGTAAGACAGGAATTTGTAGCACAGGCTCACCACAAAATACCAGATGTGGCGAGCCATTTGTGATCGAGCAATAAAAACACGCCAGATGACAACGAGGAGAATTGTGTTGAAGGCATAGCGGATGTTTCGTAGCCTGCAAAAAGAGAAATATTCCAGACATCAATGTACCATCCTATGTCATTTTGAGCAGAAGCTAATAAGTGACTCGGTACTTGCTCAAGGCACCTGCTTCTCATTTTGTGAATTATCCACTATTCAGATAATTAAACATTTGTATTATTTTAGTGGAAATAGTTTGACAGGCACAAATTTTGCTATCTGCACCCTGTCTGATATTTCTTCTTATAACCTTTCAATTGGGTCAGTCCCTGGAAATGCCTTTGCTGCATGTAAAGCAAATAAGTCTAATTTTAAATTGAGCCTCAGGCATTGCTTCTGAGAATTACTTCCTCATTAAGTCTACTTTTTTTTAAGCTTCATCTTTAAAATTTAATTGCACCCCTTTAAGTTAGCATATTGCACCTAATACATCATTCTCCAGTACATTAACCTTCTGCCCCAATGAGAAAGCTGCCTTCACTACCCACCGACATTCAGTCTCCACACCTAAACCATTCATCTGACTACTTATCTGATCACAAGGTGTTCAGTAGTTGAATAGAAAAACATCTCTGCCAACTTTCGTGCCAAACAGTGCTGCTTCCCTGCTGTTAGAAACAACTATTTCATCAACATTGGTAGAATATTATGGGATGGGGAGGGGAGCAGTTGTAAGTCATGCCCGTAAGGGGAGCAATGATTTAGGCCTTCAAATTTTAAGAAGGTGAAGAGGCAGTAAAATTCAAAACATGTAAAGATAGGAAACGTCTGGAATACTCCTGGTACTGCAAACTAATGAGTATGAGAAAATGAGAGAAAATAAGTCAATGCATGGCTGCAGAAACTGTAAACAATGGAAGAGCTTCATTCCTGTGGCATTGGAACCAGTTCTGTGGCAGGAGAAACCTATACGAGATAGACATGGTATATGACAACAGGGCTCACAGTGAGGTTAAATTGTGCTGTTCGGGGGGAAATGGGACACTGAACCCAAGGATGAGGGAACAGAAACATTATGTTTTGATGACTGAGAAAGAACAACAATATTAGAGTTGAAAGAAAAACTGCAAAAAAAAAAGAAGTGATATGAGAAACGATTTTTCATACTGCTAGCGGCACTAATCAAAGAATCTACTTTGCACTGGAGAGGTCACATATTTGGATTAATTTATATAAAATGAAGGAAAATAAGGGAGCTATTGTGCCAATGAGGGCATTCTACAGACCACAGCAGGTAGGTGATGCAGGCATTCAAGATAATGGGGACTTTACTATTGCATGAAAGTTTGGTTTTGGGAACTTGAGTAAAGGAGGAAGCTTCTGTCTGCGATGTAACATTTTATCTGAAGAAGCTAACTACCACTGAAATGTAACCTCAGGATGACTTATCAACTGATTTCATATCAAAATTCTCTTTATGTTCCTGTTATTCATTTGAATACAATCTTCTTGACTATCACTTTCTATGAGAAGTAAACTGAATCTAGCCCACTTTCTGATCTCTAGATGTCTGCATCAAAAATCAGATGCTAGTTGAGATGCAGAGGTTGAGACTGCACATTATCAGTTTCCTGTTCCATCAAAAAAAGTTGTGTAAAAACAAAACACAGCCATCGAGTGTAGATGTTTGTACTCACTTCTTTAGATGCTGTCTTGCTGCTGGAAGTCCAGACATGTCTTCATTTAGCACATATTTCTTAGTTCCTATGCAGTAATTCTCAATGTATTCTGGCCAGTGAAGCTGGCGAACATCAAAATTGAATCCCTGCAAACAAATATTAAAAGTTGACCTTACTGCCCCAACTCAAAATTCCCCTTATTTACCTGCTGCAAAAAGACTCAGGCTGGCGATCTCCTTCATGATCACCTTTGTTTAGAATTGGATTTTTGGATTACTCTTACATTTTATTTTGTTTGAATTTCTGCAAGCTGGGAGCACAAAAACTACAGGTTAGGAGTACCATTTGCATAGAAATATTTGTTTATTATGAAAAACAAGGAGAAACTACAATTCATTCTATGAATTCTGTGTTGCTGCTGTAAATTGGTGACATTTTTTTGAATTCCCATCCAAAGTTTGCAACAGTACTCAATCACAACATCTAATAGCTGGCAATAGGGTTTAAAAGACAAGGACTGGATGAATTGTTGGCAGCATGTGCCAGAATTAACTTGGCGAATGGCAGGGAACGAGAAATACCCACATGCACTGAGAAGGGGCAAAGGTAATGGAAAGTCTGTCATTGAGGCTGTGGTAAAAGACAGTGCTGAAATATCCAGGATGATGGTAAGTTCCTGCCTTTGCCCCTTCTAAAATTCCACTTTAATTTTCACCTCATAATCTGGTATGATGTACAAGTTGCAGTTAGTGTAACTGTGAAACTTGTGACACTCCATGAGTTGTAACTTTCCAATCTGATAAAGACTCATGAATCTAGACTGGGATTAATAGTGTGTCAACCAAGCCTCAATCCATGTTAATATATTACCCCTAAAACAGTCAGATCCTTCTTGTGCAATAATCTTACATGTGGCAATTAATTGAATGCTTTCTAAAGATCTAAATACACTACAGCTATCAGTTATACGGTCATAGAGTCATAGAACTGAACAGCAAGTAAACAGACCCTTTGGTCCAACTCATCCTTGCCAACCAGATATCCTAAATTAATCTCGTACTATTTGCCAGCATTTGGCCCATATCCCTCTAAACCCTTCCTATTAATGTACCCATCCAGATGCCTTTTAAATATTGTATTTGTACCAGCCTTCACCACTTTGACTGGCAGCTCATTCCGTACATGCACCACCCTCTGCATGAAAAAGTTGCCTCTTAGGTCCCTTTTAAATCTTTCCCCTCTCACCTTAAACCTATGCCCTCTAGTTTTGGACTCCCCTACCCTGGTGAAAAGACCTTGGCTATTCACCCTATCCCTGCCTCTTATGATTTTATAAACCTCCTATAAGATCACTCCTTAGCCTCCAACGCTCCAGGGTAAATAGTCCCACCCTATTCAGCCTCTGTCTACAGCTCAACACCTCCAACTCTGGCAACACTCTTGTAAATCTTTTCTGACCCCTTTTGCGTTTCACACTATCCTTCCTATAGCAGGGAGAACAGAACTGATCAAGTTCCTCTTTATGAACTCTGCTTGTTACGTACACAAGGTTATATGCAGCAAATTTGTCAAACATAACAAAACCATGCTAATGCTGTTTGACTGTGTTAAGCTTTGCTAAATGCCCTATTTGTTCTTTGATAATGGACTCTAGAATTTTCTCGACAACATACACTAGGCTAGTGTCCTATAGTTTCCTGCTTTATATCTCCCTCCCTTCCTGTTCAGGGATGTCACATGAGCAGATTTCTAGTTCTGGAATATTTTGAACAATGCTGCCACCAACTTCTGCCACTTCCTTTAAGATCCCTAGATGCTGTCATTGGGTCCTGGTGACATGTCTTCCTTTAGTCCCATTAGTTTGTCAAATACTTTGTCCCTCATCATAGAGACAATTACAAAATATTTCCTACCATGAACACCTTGCCCATTTGTTATCTTTGGCATTTTTATTGTGTCCTCCACCATGAAGACCAATGCAAAATGTTGCTTTAAATGATATTCCATTTCCCTGCTCACTGTTATCAATTCTCCAGTTTCTTCCTCTATGGGTTCCACACTTACTTTAGCTACTCTCTACTTGTATATCTGTAAAAGCTCTTGCTGTTTGTTTTTATATTTCTTGTCAATTTAGTTTCATAGTCAATTTTCCCCCTCTCTATTAGCTTTAAGGTCACCTGCTGCTAGTTTTATAAATTTTCCAATCTTCTGGCCTATTAGTTTTTGCTGCTTTGTATTACTAAGGTTTTGATTGGATACACTCCTTGACTGCCTTTCACCAACACGGGTGGTTATCTTCTTATCAAGTCCTTTTTGACCGGAATAAATTTTACTGAGAATTATGAAATATCTCCCAGTCCTATCATTCTATACAAAGGGAAACAGGGAGTACTCCTGCTATTCTGCTATAGTCAGCATTCATCTTCAATTAATAACTCAACAATAAATCACTGATTTGTTTGGAGCAAACCCCCCCAACCAAAGTACAAACCGCCTCCCCCCAACAAAAATAACAAACCCCCTCGCCCCTTCAAAAATAACAAACACCATCCCCCCAACAAAAATAAAGGATCAAAAATGCCCTCAACACATCTCTTGCATTTCCCACACTTCTGCCCTCAAACACCCTCCCCCCAACAAAAATAAGGACAGAGTGCCCCTGGTCCTCACATACCACCCACCTACCTCCATATCCAGCGTATCGTCCTCCACCACTTCCACCATCAATAATCCAACCCCACCACCAAAAAGATATTTCCTTCCTCACCCTATCTTCCTTTTGTAGGGACCACTCACTCCATGACTCCCTCATCCACTCCACACTCTCCACTAATCTCACCACACCTGGCACCTTTCCCTGCAACCGCAGGAAGTGCTACACTTGCCCCTACACCTCCCCCCTCACCTCCATTCAAGGCCCAAAGCAAACTTTCCATATCCGACAGGGGTTCACCCATACATCCTCCAACCTGGTCTACTGTATCTGTTGCTCCCGATGTGACCTTCTGTACATCGGTGAGGCCAAGCACAGACTTGGGGATCGTTTCGTGCAGCATCTGCGCTCTGTACGCAATAACCGATAACACCTTCCAGTCGCCAACCATTTTAACCCTCCCTCCCACTCCCTGGGTGATATGTCCATCCTGGGCCTCCTCCAGTGTCACAATCACACCATCCGTAAACTGTAGGAGCAACATCTCATATTCCACCTTGGGAGCCTTTAGCCCGATGGCCTAAACATAGAATTCGCCAGCTTTAAAATCTCCCACCCCTGGCCTCGTCCCATGTCCAAACCTTCCTCTCATCCATGCCTCCTCGACCTGACACAACCTGTCCATCTTCTTCCCCAACTATCCACCGTACCCTTCCCACTGACCAATCCCTACTACTTCCACCTACATCTACCTATCATCATCTCACTTACCTTCCCCAGTCCCACCCCTACTCTTTCTATTAATTTCCCAGCTCCCTGCCCCCTTCTCAGTTCTGCAGGGTTCCAATCCGAAACGTCAACTTTCCTGCTCCTCTGATGCTGCCTGACCTGCTGCGTTCCCCCAGCTCCACACTGTGTTGACTCAACTGATTTGTTGTGTTTTGTCATCCCTTCCTTTCTACAAACTGGCTGCTGCACTTCCTAAGGATAAAGGAATTTCAAAAGTAATTCATTGATTGCAAAGCATTTTTGGATTTCTTGAGGATTTGACACTACGAATAGGAATTCTTATTTGTAAACATACTTAATTGTGATTCCTGTTTCACAGGAATGTTTGTATAGTCTTGATTTTCGCTGCACACTTTTAATTGTGAAATATTTGTTTTAAAACAACTTTATTTATTCTCCTGTCCATATTCAAATAGTGGTATAGGTAATCCTATTTAACCAGACTGCTTAGGTGTGACACTGATACTTTTATATCTCAATCAGTCGGTTTTAGTGATCAATGCGCTTAAGAACTGGTTTGATGACTTTCCACGTGTTTGTTGTGAGAGAAAAGTGGAAGTTGAATTTCCAGACAGCTTAACCAAAAAAGGCATTTAAATAAACTGTCTCCTGTTGAATGTTAAATTGAAACAGTGAACTGATATTAGATAGATATGTTTCTAATTATATGATCATGTGACTACTCACTTATCAAAGAAACAGTTACTTGATTCCCTGATAAACATATTTTAGAGCCGTGACACTTGCAGTCCATGGACAAACCACCAGATGGAGTTTCTTGTAAAATTTAGTTTTCTCCCTTTGGTTTCGGAATCAATCTAAGGCAGTTTGTTCCAGTGTGGCCCCATTTTCTCTCTCATTTTTTAAAACGTCACACTTCAATATTCTTTTAATTTCTTTCTTCAGGTCTGTAAAACCTACTTGCAAGTTTTTCTATGTGAAAACATGTTATATAAATAGAAGTGGTTATCTGAACAGGTCTGTCCTTTCCCAGTCCAATGCTGTGTTCTTGGGCAACTCCTGGCTGCATCCTACAGCAACACCACAACAATGGCCATTGTTGTTTCTATTGTTCCTGTGATACTAGTTCAGATTGTTTTCAACTTTACATCTCTCAGGTGTGAAACTTTTCAAAAAAAAAATTTAAACTTATGTATGCCACCTTTTTAAAAGCACTATGATGAATTTTGAAGTAAATTATTTAATCAATGAGTTATTGCTAATTTTTACAGATACAATAGATGTACATTTGTTCAAATGATGGATGGTTCTGTATTTGGTTGATTGTCAGAAACTGCTTTTTGCAGATTATATCTTGTTAGGATGTGACGTGGTCAATGGGCAGCCAGTTATTCTACTGTTGATGATGATACAATTAAGACCTCTGTAAAAATTATTCTGGGAGAAGGTGAAGTTTAATTACAGAAATAAGGCAGTGATTCTATTCAGTAACAGTATTGTTCTCTCTCGAAGGTGCTATAATATTCATTTAAATTTTGTGTCAAGTTAAATTTCCTCATCAAAGGAAAATATCATCTTCACAGAGCTCTTCAGTAATAGTGGGTACCATATATTAAGGTATCCTTACATCACTGGACATCAACATTTTCTCCCTTGACTTCTAGCTATTATTTACAAGTACTACCTTAACACAGTTCTGCAGAAATAATCAAAAAATTTATTTTAGCATGCCTTGCCAAGATATTCTGAATGAATCAATTTTTGGAAGTTTAACACTGATTTAATTCAGATTTATAAGAACAGCCAACAGAAATATTGGATTTTTTTTGCAGAAGGTAATGGAATGTGTGACAATATATAATACAGCATTCAAGAGGTTAATGGATTTTCATGCTGCTAACGAATGCTGTACTGATTTCCCTTCAAAGATGGCTCACTCATAGCTGTTCCACCTTCCATTGCCTGGGTCTGATGCCTGACAAATCCATTTTATCCAATGACAGCAGCAACTGAATAATTTACAACGTTATACCACTGTTGCTAAGGGTGGCACTCCATGCAGCTGCTCAGAACCATGGATTCTAAACGCCTCCCTACAAATGCGCCACACTGCAAGTATGTATATATTAACCTCCAAGACAATGGATGAATTTGATACACTTGGCATTGAACCAAGAAAAAGCATAATCATGTATTTATTTCAATATTCCATTTGAATTTTGTTTTAAATCGCCACAATCGCTTATTTTACTTTGATAATTATCAATTATTACAATTACAAAACTAGCCTTGGCACCTTAATTTGATGTTTTATTGCCGGCAAACATTAGTGCTGCTATTTAATGTACTCAGCATTGTATCAGAGGTGCTGTGAGTTAGATGTAATTATTTAGAGTTGTTATTTTCCTGGGATATTTCTGGGCTCAGATAGGAGCATTTGCTGTCAGCATGACAGAGTAGAATGCAGTATATGCGAGTGGGCCTGGTATGCCACTGCAGGTCACAGTATGTAATTAGTGACCTTGTGCTTATACTTGCACAGTTACAGTGCTGAAGATGTGGTCGTGTATAAGTGCATACTCTGCTGTCGCAGCGTACAACTGAGGTAACAAGATTTTTTTTCTCCCTATTTTGATTTTTCATGCGGTAGCTATCATTAGCTGGGGAGAACCACCAATAGTTACTAACACCATGCAGGTTAGTCGATGGAATGCCCTTAAGCTTTTCCCACTGTCACCTCTTGGATGTAGTTTTCATATGAAGGCAACAATTCCAGAAACGTCAGACTTATACATAAATTTCAGCTTCCAAAGCAATGTTAAACAAGGTGCCTACATGTACTATGAAGTCCTGTTAATGTAAGTATGGAAGTTATGTCTTCAAGACATAACAATTAACAGCAGTGGTCACCTTCCTGCCTAGTTAGCTATTTGAGGATTAATATGGATGGCTGCTCACCCTCTTGCATGGTGTTTGCTATTTGTGCTTACCCTCTTATCCTCGGGGCTGAGTTGACTCAGCAGCATGTTCATGTTCTCTGAACTCCAGTCCCAGGACTTGCTGCTGAAGTACTCCAGCAGCATCATGGATTTATGAAGTCTGTTGAAGATCTTCATCATTCTGCAATTGTATGTACAATTAAGTAGAGCTTGTGTTCACTTACTCAATCTTTATACTGTAATCATCAGTTAGACAGTTGTTTGATGGAAATTAAATTTCATGCGTTGCAATGAAGTTATACGATATTTTCTGTCAGGCAGGATTACATGAAAATTATTTTTTCTGACTGTTCCTTAACTAACAGCTGAAACAGCCTCCAGATGTTGGTACAGAGCGCTTTGTAGGGTTGAACAAGCTGTGTTTGCCATTGTTGTTTCCAGTGCTTGGGTTAATGCCAGGTGGTCCATGCGGTTTCATTCCTTTGTTTAGATTTTGCACCATTTTAATACAATTGACTGCTTATTACATATTTCAGAGGGCAGTTAAGAGTCAACCACATTGCTAATTGTCTGGAGTCACATGTAGGCCAGTTAAGATGTTAGATTCTCTTTCCTGGAGGATGTTGGTGAATCTGATGGGCTTTTACGACAAACAACAATGGTTACATGGTCATCATTAGACTAACTTTTAATTCCTTTCTATTAAAAAAAAATCAAATTACCATTGTGGGGCTCAAACTCAAGTCTCCAAAATATTAGCTTGAGGATGGATTACTAGTCTAGGATATTATCATTATATCCCTGCATCCCCTAGTAAATGGTAAAATCTGACTTGGGTGAAATTTATGATTTTTCTTTAGAAAAGAGATTCTGTGCTTTCTTTATTTTGTGCATACGTGTGTGAGAGAAAGGGCAGAGGTAGCTTCTACTTCATTTTTATAAAACTCAACAAAAATGCGTTAAGCTATCAGTTAGTTATTGCTGTATTTGAGTTATCTTCCAAAGAATGTTGAAGCAAGTGGCTTTTAATTATCTGGCCTGACTATCAACGTTATCTTGACTGAGTATTTAAGTATTCTAATTACTAGTAACTGTCAAAACAGAAAGAGAGCATAGGAGACCCACCAGTGTGAATATAGAAATATGCACATATTTCAATTGATATGGTCCTGTAAAATTACCTTTGTCTTTAAAGTAAAACCAGGAAAGGTGTGCAGGAAAGTTTCATTTTTGCCAAGCATTGATGTATTTTCCATTGTAATATTAAATTACATTTTAAACAATTTGCAAAATAAGAGAGACTTTTTTTTAATTCAGGAGAAGGTTTCAAAAGGTTTTACTTACCGTGGTTTCTGCCCTGTTAGCCTCAGATAAAGATCATAAACCAAAGCAGGAGCTTTGTGACTGACAGCGATCCAATACTGATTAATCAAGTAGTTTGATGTAATATTTGCGTTGGGCCTTCTAAAGGCCTGATCCAGAGGGTTCCTCTTAAACGTGGAAATGACATGGTACTCTAGGAAAAGAAGGAAGAGAATCAATTAATTTTAGTATGATGTGCTTTATGTAATAATTCTTTCAGGAGATTGAAGGCTTGCTTTCTATTCAGAACAAAGCAGGATGGAAAATTAGTTCACAGGGGTGTGTGTTCTTGTCCATGGTCTAGCACAAAAATGTTGTGTAATTTCTCATATGAACATACTCAAACATACAACGAGTACAGCACATGCCATAAACTGAGACAAATACTTGGGTAAACTAAAGGTAGCTGGTACATTCTGTAGATAATTTCATAATCTTATGATGTTTGAAATAAAAAGAATCAAATACACTAAACCTACTCACTGTATCATAACTCCTCCAGCACATCATGATCTCAAAGATGGACAATTGCTTTGGCTATGTCTTTAAAAACTGAACACTTAAAACGAATAGTTGGAAAATTCCCCTTGAACTAACCATCTTAGTGAAAATAGGCACAATTTAAAAAAAAATTGATGATTTCATCTTCTTCAAAATAAAATGTTAAGTGTGCCCATTAGGAAGACCAAGCAATTTTCCATCATTTAATTGAAATAAACCTCAAATTTGTTTGATTACAAAGAAGCCTCTCCACACATTTTTATTTATGCATTGTGTTCAGGCAAGTAAGACTCTTGAGCTTTCCCAATTAAGAAAAGATTTATACAGTCCATGATTACATATATACTCTGCCTAATAGAGTGATTAAAAATGTTCACAACAGGTTAAACAAACTTGGTAGTTAGATGATAAGTTCCAACCTTGAATGGCTTCTATGTTGATCGCAGCTTAACTGCAGTGGACAGAGACTGTCACAACTTCAGAAATTGCTCCATTGGCCACTTTTAATTCATTTTACACAGATTAAGTGTTTTATTTTAATTCCTGAAGAAGATCACTTTCTAGAAATAATAGTCCTTCTTTTGAAAACAAGTCCTCCCCTTGAAGGCAGCCCCAGTCACCATAGCTCTAACATGCTAGACTTGCTTCTGAATCCAGATTCTCCATCTCCTTCAGGCCAGACCCCACTGGAGCATGGACAGCCTGTCCCAAAAATATTAAAGCATTAAAAATCATATGGTCAGTGTGGCATCACGGTGGCAGGTGGCAGTTCTGTCTTGCCCAAGGTACACTGATTTTAGCGTTCCTAATGCTTAAACAATTGGAAACTTCATGAACTGAGGGTGCTTCTCCAAAGTGCTGCTTCCAACATCCAAGGATCAGCGACTTGAATTTGTCATCACTGTGAGCTCATCACCATTGGCGGGAGCTACAACTGTGTGCTTTATATGTGTGAGGGGATTCCAGAGCTGGGAATCAAAGGGAATTCAGCATTGAAGATGGTTGCAGGGGATTTTGAAATGGTGTGAGATTCCTCAGTATCCCCCCTCCTTGGTTTGCCATGTTCTCCTGTCGATGGGTGGCCAGATTGCATTTCTCACAACAGCTACATGAACAAACATACTCCTGGAGAGCCCAACAAAATTCAAAATCATTGATTTAGGTTGTGTGATCAGGCATCAGGTGGTGAGCTATTGTGTTGTCAATATATATCCACACATGCCTCTAACCAGAGTTGGCAACTCTCATTGGGATTCTCCAGAGCAGAAAATCCAAGCCATTTAAATATCATACTGAAAGCTGATTAATCCAGAGTTATCAAGGAATTTTATCACTCAACAATAGTGACTCAAGTGGTGTCTCAAAATCTTTGCACTTTCTAAAGAATACCAAGACTTTCATTTTTGTGATACATTTGGATTTAATGCTGATGTCCATACCACTTTGAGCATGGATTCCACTCACCCTGTCCTTCTGATAAGTAAAACTGATCTTTCTTTGTCAGCTTAATTATCAGGGGAGTAGAACCAAACAAAAGGAAGATTCACAGAGTTAGTTTAAATTAACACAGTTTTTGTGCAATGAACCTTCCAATGCAGGTTATGCACCAACTGTCAAGATATTTTCTAACATTTGAATCTTGTACCTTAAATTTAAGTTCTCCCTTTGGGCCCACCAGTACTTTACATATCTTTGAAAAAGTGAGCAATGCGTTCTGAGGATTCTGCCAGATATGATCTGAATCACCTGCGTGGAAGTGTGCTGGAATAACTCAGGTCAACTGCCTTCTGATTTTCCTTCTGTTTCCTATTCTGATAGCCCAGGGGAGATCAACAAATCAATAAATAATGTGCCCTAGCATGGGTTCGATAACGAACCACATAGTAGATTTACCAGTAAATTTGAAATTTGTGAAATAAAATGGGCATTGCCACCAAGGCGTATGTTGGCGGAGTAACAGAAAACAATGCCATGTGAATTATTTCAGAGATAGTAGGAACTGCAGATGCTGGAGAATCTGAGATAACAAGGTGTAGAACTGAATGAACATAGCAGGCCAAGCAGCATCAGAGGAGCAGGAAGGCCTAGACCCTTCTTCAGAAATTTTTTTGTACTGGAGGAAGATGTACAGTGTGGTCCTCCAGGGGCTGGATTCTAGGACTACTGATGATCTTGATATTCATTCATGACTTAGAAGTGGGCAAATAAGACAAAACTTGGAAGTATTCTGAACTTTACATAGAGCATGACAGACTTTAAGATGACCTAGTTGTTTTGGAAAATGGTTAAAGAAGCATGTGATCCTAGGTCTTATAGAAGCATACATTGCAAAATTAAGGAAATTATGATCGCCCTTTATGGAGCACTGTTTTGCCTTCAACCAGAGTACAATGTTCAATACAATGTTCAACCCCACTTCAGGAAGGTTGAGAAAGCTATAATGGGAGTGTAGGAAAGATTTACAAGAATGGTTTCAGATGAGGGACTTCAGTAATGTGTATAGGTTGGAGAAGCTGGGTTGTTCACCTTCTGGAACAGGGTATTGAGAGGGAATTTAACAGAGGTGTTCAAAATTATGAGTCTGAACAGAGTAGATACAGTGAAATTGTTCCCATTGGCAGAAAGGTTAAGAACTACAGGATGGCAATTTAAGGTGATTAGTGAAGTGGCACAGGGAAAAATACTTTTCTGCAGTAAGCAGATCTGGGATGCACTGCCTGTATGTGAGGTGACAGCCGATTCAATTGTGAATTTTAAAGTGGTATTAGAAAAGCACATAAAGAGAAAACATGCAGGGAAAGGACAAGGCATGGAGCGGAACTACATTGTTCTTGCTTCCTTTTGGAACAATTCTACGTTTTGGTAGGGGCGGCATGGTGGTGAGCACCGCTGCCTCACAGCGCCAGGGACCAGGGTTCAATTCTACCCTTGGGTGACTGTCTGTGTGGAGTTAGCACATTCTCCCCGTGTCTGCGTGGGTTTCCTCTGGGTGCTCCGGTTTCCTCCCACAGTCCAAAGATGTGGAGGCTAGGTGGATTGGTTATGCTAAATTGCCCGTAGTGTTCAGGGATGTGTAGATTAGGTGGGATTTTACATGTGTTGATATATCAATCAGCTAAACAAGGCAGCATATCTACCAACACAGCCAGACTATACTGTGGGTTCTTCTACAGGATTCTCTAATTTTCACTTGCCATGTGTGCAATCCTATGCGTGCTGCTGAAATAATAGTTTTTTTTTTAAATGCATCTCTTATTTCCTACCTGACTTCTGCTTTTAACATCATTTATAAACTGAACATTCATTTAGGTGGTTCAAGGACCAAATGTTTTGGAAATATTACTTTATTATTCTTGCAGAATTCTAGGTCAAACTATAAAGCCATTTCTCTGTGGTCACATCATTTCTGAGTCCAGGTCAAAAACTCAACAGAAGATGATGAGCAAACGAGCTAAGGCACTATATGAAACAATATGATCCGAGCATAATTTCTTTGACACCGTTAAGGGATTTCCAGCTGATTTGGTATCTAGTTTCCAAACTTGGAAAAGCTGAGAAATTTAGAGAGTGAACTCGAAAGTACAGATTTAAAGATTGAAAGTGCAAATGGCAATTGTGGTGATAAGCATAAAATGGGATTGCGGGTTAAGCAGGACAGGAGTTGCAAGGATGATGATGACTATGCAAACAGAGGGGACAGCATGGACCGACCGATATTTAATAATTAAAATCAGTTGACAGGAAATGGTGGAGGAGGCTGGAAAGTGGCAACTCAAAATAGTACTACTAGTCTGTGTGGAACCCAGCCTTTTCTACCCTATGATCACCAAAAAAATTGTGCAGGACAATGATCAAAAGGAGGAACTTCGGAAGTTAGGAATAAACTTAACTACTCTCATTATGTAGGCTCACATGTAAAGACATGTTACTTTGGTAATGTGCAAGATTGCCCCATAATATCTATCTCATTACTATAACTATTACATATCTAACAGATCTGCGACTAATTTCTCATTTTTTAGTGCTTCTGTGCTACTTGAAGAAAAATAGGAAAATGTAAGAAGCCAAATGCTCCAAAAATATAGCACAGCCCAAAGCATTAAAAAAAACCATGCAGTAAACATAATTTTCTAAACAGAGAGCTTTCGTGTAGGTAATATTTGGCCATAGTTTAACAAGGTGTTAATAGCTAAAAATTGGGAAATAAAGTAAATAATTCTGCTGCATTGACCATAATCGATAAATAAAAGTACATTATTGCCTATGCAGGTGCTTAATTACAAAATGACAGCCAACACAAAATGGACAGAAATAATCTAAACGAAGCAATCTGTGAAACTAATTAGTAAGAGAATGGCCCTGAGATAAGCAGATCTCAGTAGAACCTGTCTTTCACACAGTGTGTGCAATGACATATTTTGATACATTTAGCACATTGAGCCAATGCAGCAAAGTGAAGAATAATTACTCAATTGTTTTGTGGATCTGACTTGCAATAGTCAGCATACATATTTAAGAGTTTATTCAGTTAAAAAGCTATTTCTGGTTCTTTAAAAATGAGTGACAATACAGAAAAAGGCATATTTAATCAGTATTTTTTAAGGCTGTATTGTTTATTACTAGGAACGAATGTTCAAATGCCAGGGAGCAATATCAGGTTGCCTCCCCAATGCTGTCCCACTTCTGGGCCATTTCCCCAGCAGCAGGAAATGGAGCAGCGGCCACTCACCGCACTGCAGCCAATCTACAGATTGTGCTGTCTTGCCATCAGATTACCAGTGGAGGAGCAGCACCTCTGTCACAAAGGAAAACCACCATGTCCATACAGCTTCATAAAGAGGCGGGTTTTTGTGCAATAGTGTCAGGAGGCTCCACAGTCCAAGGAAGGAGTCCACAGCAGCAGATCCCACCCCCCAAACTCCCCTACCACAAAGACACCAATGTTGCCTCGAGAGGAGTCACTCTTTTGATTACTGCAGCCTGCCCTGTTTGGTCCCTGCACAGCCAGAACTCTCTAACCACTGAATATAGGCATCCCTTTCTTCTCCTTGCAGCCTCAGCAACATCTACCTCTCTCAGTGGCACTGCCAAGGCTGCGGAGCTAATAGCCCTCAGACTGGGCACCCTGCCCGCTGGCTTTAATTCAATGGCAGGCCTAATGGCAGCCTCTTAATTGACTGCTGCTGAGAAGAGGTCCCACTGCCATCACAAACATTTGGTCCTGACGGGAGGACTCACCTTGTGCCAGGAAGATCCCAGTCTGGTCAAGCTACACACAGATTCACTTCTGATCTCCAGGTGTCAGTGTATTGGGTCAAACAGAAATTCAGCAAGGCTCCTAGGACAACACCTTCCAAATCCCAACCACATCCAGATTGTCAAGGGCAGCAGGCACATGAGAATATTATCATCTGCAAGTTCCCCTCCAAGTCACTCAGCATCATGACTTGGAAATGTATTGCCATTCCTTCAGTGTCACTGGGTCAAAATCCTGGAACTCTCTGCCTAACAGCATTGTGGGTCTACCTACAGCAGATGGACTGCAGCAGTTCAAGAAGGTAGCCACCACTTCTCAAGGGCAACCCCTAGAGATGGGCAATAAATGCTGGCCAGCCAGTAATGCCCACATCCTGGGAATGAATATAAAAATGAATTTTAAAAATAAGTCTTCAATACCTGCATTCAGGCTTGTGAACAGAAGAAGAGCTATGAGAACCAAAATGCAATGCAAAAGAGAGCAGCAAAGTTTATCTCTCACAGGATGAACTATAGGAAATTAATAAATAAGCTTGAACTTTCCTTTTTCACATTGAAAGGAAACCCTGTTAGTCCTAGTGAAATTTGTAAATGTCTACAATATACAAAGCAATGGAGAAAATAAAATCAATGCATCAGAAATGGAAAGAAGAAGATCAAGAGTTCCAGGTTTAGAGTTATGAAGGGTACATTGTGAGCAGATGCAAGGACTCAATGGGCCAAACAGCCTCTTTCTGCGCTACAGGGATTCTATGATTCTAGATATTTTTAATGCGTCAACACAACTCTGAAGCAGGTCTTCTGACTCAAAGACACAACCAGTGTCCAAGGGCTCTAAAACTGATATACTTGGATTTACAGACTGCTTTGGATGACTCAACTGGCTTTATAGACAGTTAATTACCTACTGAGCTGAACCATTTCTGCAGTGTCACCTGCAGCTTAGTAGCCAGCCATTCTGCCCCTAAGCCAAAAAGTTATGGGGTCAAGTGCCACCCCTGTGTTATTCTTGCTTTATGCACTAATTGCAGTGCTCTTGTCCCCAGTGTCTCACCATATTGCAGATCCCTCTTCTACACTATGCTCCAATGACATGCACAGTGTCAGTTTCTGAGTTGCATGTCACAAGTATAGAGACAAGTGAAAGAGCATCTTTGCTGCTGTCTTGGTCTTCTTCCATTTTCAGGACAGGTGAACCTTGGATTTCTGAAAGGAAAAAGTCTTCCAAGGATAAAGTTGTGGCATGGAGAAGGGGAAATGTGAAAGGTACATCCTTACATCAGCTTGTAAAACAAAAAAAAATGAATGAGAGAAGCATGATTAGGCATCAGGATGCCACTATCTTCAATTTATGCTGCTAGCCACAGCTTGAGCAATGGTATTTTCGATAATGATCGTCACTTTCTCTTATATGGGAGCTGTGGGTAATGCCCTACAGTTAGTTCCTGCTGCCTCTGCTTGTGAACTACCTTTTTCTGCAAAAGAGAGGGCAGTATCTTAGTGAGTATAATGTTACTTCTTTCAGTGATGTCATGCTTGAACAGGTAGCAGTATGTGTATGCTTGCAAAAGTGCCAAGTATATGAGAGTGAACAGAAGCATATGAATTTTATGTATGTGTCAAGACTGATTGAGATTTTTAGTAGATGAGCATTGAGAGTGTGGTGAATCGAGAGGTTGAGGCTGGTTCTGGCGTTGGAGGGAAATGGCATTCGAAGATACACTCTTTTACCTTGACCACTTGTGTGATTATTTAACTTCTTGCAGCACTCCATCCAAATCTTGGTGCTATATTCCTGGTATTCACCTCTGTGGCTGGCTGGTCTCATTGCCTCTCTTTCTTTCCACCCCATCAATATGGTCATCCCTCCTCCACCAAGATCTCCAATGCAGCATCAGAAAGCCTTGACACACATTTCTGCCCATAGTCAGCTACTGACCTTCACAGCACAACATCATTCTGAATAATCTCAGCACCTTCAGCAACCAGAAAGCCCCTTTAAAAAGCACAGTGTAGCTTTAAGTACTGCTTTCACATAAGAATACTAGGTCCTCTGCTGATGCAGGCAGTCACAGAATACTGTACTTAGCGCTGCACACAGGAATCAGGATTCATGAACAAACAGTATAAATTGGCACACTACTGGCATTACTGTATTACACTAAACAGGCATGTGCTCTTTGCACACTTAAATCCCTGTGTTTATTTTCAACAGCTACCACCTTCTTTCTATGTCTGCATTATGGGAAAGGTTTACTTCTATCTGTCGTGTCAGGATGTGTTTTATGCTAAATGGATCTTAGCATTTGCTGTGCCCAGATTACTTGTCTTAATTTTTCCTCTGGCCAATGCATTTCACGCTAGGGGAACCTGTTCTGTTGGGGTGTAGTTGGGAGGGAGTGGTGTTAGAGTTTGTAGAATTACTCTAGTCATTAATCTGACTACAAGCAATTTTAGAAAATGTATTGACAATGTTGATAGGCAATGCAACTTACCAGTTCACCCAAATATTGATTTAGTAAAGATATTGCACATTTGAAGAAGGCTTGTCATATTTTCTCATAGTTGGCTACACTGTAGCATCCATGATATCAGCCAAATAACTAACTGATACATTAATTAAAATTGATTTTAATTAATCAGATGATGTGAATGGCCATACATCAGAAAACAAGCCTGGGGAAGGGGCGTGTGCCAACTGGGAACCATTAGTATAGTTTTAACTTACAAACTCAAATCTTACCAATCTCTCCCCAGTGAAACGGGTTGATGCCTCCTGTGGTACAATTGTAAATGAGGGTAGTTTTTGGCCTGTAAAAAAAAAAGTACAGCAAGAGAGTCAAAGAAAGTGAATTAGGAGTGTGGGTAAAACTGGTAGAGCTGTTCATCTGTGCTTTGGGACATTAGACCAGTGCCTGATAACACTGCACTGTCTGGAATGCCTGTTAACAAGCAGGAAGGTTCAGCACGGCTACTCTGAAGTAACAGTGAAATGGGATGGACCACTAAAATGATCCTAATATGTGCAGCAACATAAATGTAAGCCAAGGAAGGGATTAACAAACAAAAGGTGTCCTTTCTTTCTGCCCATTGTATACTCTAAATCTGTATACAATCTTGACTTTTAAACATATACTTTGTTTTCCTATCCTAATTTCTCAAATGTATTTTCTACATTCAACTGGCATCCCTTTGTTCATCTTATTTGTATTTTTCTACATTCCTTATCAGATTGGAATACTTCAGTATTGTTTCCCAAAGTATTATTTACAAATAAATTTGTTACAAAATATTATAGAAAGATTGCAGAATTTCTGAGGTACTTGCGCCTACAGGTGGCACTATGATAGTCCCGTGATAAATTAATCCGAAGGCCTAACATTTCTATTTTATGTTTCTTACCGACAGAAACTTACTAAATTATATGCAGAGGATAGGTGATATCTAACTAACCTAGTTAATGTTTTGAGAAGGCTACTGGTAAGGTGCATCTACCAATGTTGTCTATCCAACTTACAGAAAAAAGCATTTGCTGAGTGCTCGTGAAATTATTAGAAAAACAATAGTGTGTAGAACTAGAGGTCATCTCATAACCATTACAACATGGTTAGAAATTAGGAGACAGATATGATAAATGTTTTACCCTATGATTAGTGGATGTAGTAATTTTGTCCTATTTTTACTGGGTTCCTCAGCTTTTCACCATATCTCACCTCCAAAGGATGTGGGTAAATTGGAATAATCAAGATTGAGGTTCACAGATGTTTTAGGAAAAGTATCACAGGATTTGGAAAAAAGACAGGAAAATGGTTTTGACATACAGATCAACCTTGATTTAACAGGTTTTAAGGGATTGAATGGTCTAAATGTGGCCCTGAGATCCTATTTCCTTGACCCAGCTTCCACAGTTCATTCCCAGTGCATGTGTTTACCAGTGTCACCGGATGCTAGTTTATCCATCAACATAATTTCCCTGGCCTTTGTCTTCACTGTATGTGAACCACAGAAGCTTCCTCTTACTCACACTTTGCCATTCGCCTTTCACTTATTCATCCACCTTTCCTCCTCTCTCTCCTTCCTCATGCATTCCCCAACCCCAGTCTAATTAGTCTCTTTGTGCACTAATCCAGCTTTCACTGAAAGGCGTACATGACTTTGTGCAACATCTTGAGAAATCATTTAGTTGTAAATAAAACAAAGTCCATTACAGACTTCTGTAGAACAACAATGCTTTAAATAGTATAAATTTTTAACAATTTTTGTGTGGGCTGTGGGAATTGTTGGCAGGGCCAGAATTTGTTGCCCATCCCTACTTTCCCTTGAACTGACTGGTTCTATAGGCCATTTCAGAAGGCAATTAAGCGTCAACCACATTGATGTGGGTCACATGTAGGCTACACCAGGCAAGAATGGCAGGTTTTCTCCAGTGAATCAGATGGGTTTTGAAGACAATGGTTACATGGTCACCATTAGGCTAGAATTTAATTCCAGATTTTTCTTTATTGAATTCAAATTCCACATTCACCATGGTAGGGTTCAAATCCACATGCTGATATAGCCCGGCTCTCTGGATTACTAGTCCAGTGACATTACTACTAAACCACAACATTCTTCTTTCACCATACAGTTAATGGAGATTGAAAAACCAACCAAACATTAATGTCACATTAAATACTATGTCTGCAACCACAAGGGAAACCGTGGCTCAACTGTACCTTTTAATTCAAAATAGAAGGCAACTGGCGTAGATCTGTTATTTGTCACACATGTATGTCAAAATGATTCTATCATTAAACATTTGCTTAGTCCAAACAACAGAGGAAATCTTGTGATGTGTTCAAAAGTGGTAACCTCAGAGAAGCATCTCCTAATTCTACTTCTCTTTAATAAGCTGCATCAACTCAGTTTCTCCCAGAGAATGCTAAACTCCTGTCAAATATTGCAAATAACAAGGCCATAAAACCTGCAGCCATTAAACCATAAATTTTGCTCAAATTGGAACAGTTGATGAGTGACAAGATGATTTACACTGGCAAAATTCAAGAGAAAGAAGATACTTGGAGTGACAAATCAGTGATGTGAGTATCAGATACAGGAAGGAGCATATAGATCTCTCACCTGTGAACTGCTGTATACCAACCAGCTGCAAGTGTGAGATTAACCACTACATCAACAGGGATCAAGTCAGCTACCGCATCATTAGTAGCTCTCATAGTGCGAAGAATCCCCTTGCCAGCCTGCAGGACAATGGAAACAACATATTAATAACATATATACAAAGTCGATTATAAATTGGCCTGTAATCAGCCCAACTCACTACAAAATTTCATCACTCGCCAACACTGTGATATTTGGCTTCTCTGCCCCCTTACCTCTCTCTCTTTCTGACAACCCTCTCTTCACACTGCAAAACCCAAGACCAAGCAATACGAATATGATATGATTATCTTTGATGTGGCTGGAGTGGCGGAGATAGGCAGTGTCCAATCTCTCTGTATGAACAATGCTGTCTTTGGTCTCTGTTTCAAATTGAGGTGGAGTTAGCATGGCCAAACAATCAGAGGAAACCAAGATCGTGTTGTTGTCAGCATTGCAATGGCTTTTACACAAATGAGGGCCAGGAGCGTGAAGGGTGTGGTGAGAAGTCAGGGAGGGTATTCAGAAACTAGGCGATGAGAATTGGTGGCCAAACAGTTTAGGAGATTAGAGAGATCAGGGAATGTTCCTTAAATGTGAGATTAAGAGGAACACTCCTGGTGTTCCTAGCTCAATATTCAAGTTAGCAAATGAAAATAAAACCATTTTTCCTGCCTCTGATATCAGCTGCTCCAAACCGATTTTGTAGTGGAGATCTCAAAGCGGTATTAAGCCCCTTATTTCATGGGCTAAGGACTTAAAAAAATTGTTTCAGACATGAACTGCATTTCTTTTCCTTTCCCAATATAGTGAGTATTTCATGTCCAGTCAGAAAGCTGTGAATGTATCCCACCTGCTGCACTGAAGGACTAATAGATAGCTTCCATTTTTAAGATGCTAAGCAGTGTAGCCAAACGTATAGATATATTATCACATGAAACTTATTGTGATCCTTATCCAGACTTTGTAACTGACCAACTACTTTTCTTGGCTGTATATCTGCAGGCAATTTGAACCTCTTGTTTAAAGCATTGTCCTGATCTATTTTAGAATAATCCTAGTGACCTTCTGTTTTAATCAAACTACCTGTGATCTACATAGTATCACACACTATCACCTGCACATCTCTATGATTCTCCAATGTGGTATTCTCTCGCTTCAATCCATTCTTAAGTCCCTCCAGAGATAGTAGGAACTGCAGATGCTGGAGAATCTGAGATAACAAGGTGTAGAGCTGGATGAACACAGCAGGCCAAGCAGCATCATAGGAGCAGGAAGGCTGACGTTTCGGGCCTAGACCCTTCATCAGAAATGGAGGAGGGGAAGGGGGTTCTGAAATAAATAGGGAGAGAGGGGGAGGCGGATAGAAGATGGGTGGAGAGGAGACAGACAGGTCAAAGAGGCAGGGATGGAGCCAGTAAAGGTGAGTGTAGGTGGGGAGGTAGGGAGGGGATAGGTCAGTCCAGGGAGGACGGACAGGTCAAGGGGGCGGGATGAGGTTAGTAGGTCGGAAATGGGGGTGTGGCTTGAGGTGGGAGGAGGGGATAGGTGGGAGGAAGGACAGGTTAGGGAGGCGGGGACGAGCTGGGCTGGTTTTGGGATGCAGTGGGAGGAGGGGAAATCTCCGCCCCCTTGACCTGTCCGTCCTCCCTGGACTGACCTATCCCCTCCCTACCTCCCCACCTACACTCACCTTTACTGGCTCCATCCCTGCCTCTTTGACCTGTCTGTCTCCTCTCCACCTATCTTCTCCTCTACCCATCTTCTATCCGCCTCCCCCTCTCTCCCTATTTATTTCAGAACCCCCTTCCCCTCCTCCATTTCTGATGAAGGGTCTAGGCCCGAAACGTCAGCCTTCCTGCTCCTATGATGCTGCTTGGCAAACTGTGTTCATCCAGCTCTACACCTTGTTAGCTTAAGTCCCTCCAGTTTGGTTTTAGATTTAGCCATCAGTTATATTCTGTGAGGCTGTCGTCTTGACTTAGTCGTCCCCAACATTCTCAATTCTGCCTCCTTTGACAGTACTGATCAGGTTATATTCACTCATTGCCTACTTCCCGTAGTCTGCATCCTTTACTTTTGCAGTTCCACGTTTCCATGTCCCAATGGAGTCATAACATCTCATTTTGTACGCTCCAGAGCATAGGAATCAAAACATCTGCCCTGGTATTCAAAGGAGTCTAACAATGGCTCATGTGACTAATTCCCAGATTGGCGGACTGTCCCATGAAGAGAGATTGGGAAAACTGAGCTTGTATTCTCTTGCATTTTGGAGAGATGATCTCATTGAAACTTAACATATTTAAAGGGATAGATAAGGTAGATGTTTCCCCTGGTCATGAGTCTGTAACCAGGGGACACAATTTCAAAATAAAGGAAAAGCCTCTTAGGACCAAGGTGATGAGAACTTTTTTTTAAACTCACGGGGTTGTGAATCTTTGGAATTCTTTACTCCAGAGGGCAGTGGCAGCTCAGTCATTGAGAAAGTTTAAAATAAAAAATGGCAGACTTCTAAATTTAAAGGAGATAAAAGGATATGAGGATATTGTGAGGAAAAGGCATTGAAGGGAATGGTCAGGCATGATCATACTGAATGGCAGAGCAGACTCTACGAGGTGAGCAGCCTACTCCTGTTGCTATGTTCCCATTAATGGTATCCCTTGTCACACACTATCACCTGCACATCTCTACGATTCTCCAATGTGGTATTCTCTCTCTTCAATCCATTCTTAAGTCCCTCCACTTTGGTTTTAGATGTAGCCATCACGCAAATGAACTACAGCTCAATCTTTCTACTGTCATAACTGACTCCAGGGCTTGGTAATACAACTAGGATCTTTGTCTGATGTGCATTTTTAATTAAGCATTAGTTCATTGCTCACAATTAGACCATGACAAACTGAAACCTTTCTGTATGTCTTACAAGGCAACTATGAACCTACAACTCCAACAGCCACTGTAGCTGGCCTCTGAAACTTTATATAATGAACTTTTGTGCTCTGTTCTGTCCAAAGCAAAGCCTCATACTAATGTTGCATCAAGACTACCTATTTCCACCTCTTTTTCATTACCTACCTAATCACCTAACTCATCTCCACCAAAGGTGAAACCCTTTGCTGTGTCTTCATCTCAAGGAATTAATTTCTCAAATACTTCTCTCATTGAAATTCGTTAGAAGGTCAATGAACCTACTTAACCATTATCCCCTTTTTTGTTTGAGTTCCACCAGCAGTTTGTGTCATAGTAAGTAGATTTCACACTGTCACCCTCCTCGAGAGCACAATCAATTTTTTTTTCCCTTTGTAAAGCACTGCAGAGTTTCTTAAAGGTGAACGCCATAAATTTAATTTGTGACTGGTTGAGGAAAATTAGGCAAGAGCGCTTCATGAGAAATGTGTATGAGTTGAAATGTGACAGTCACCTTACAGTGATCATAGGACATTATCTACTAACATTCAACAGCAGGATATGTTTTGTTTAAAATAAACTGTGATAAATGGTATCAGGAATAATTCTGTGCCCATCTTGTAAAAGGAACCAAGATGGCAGTGAAGTCTTTAAAACCTTGCCTTAGAATCCCCTGTATCTTTCTTATCCCACTGTCCGTTTTTTCTTTATGCATTCATAGTAATACTGTATATTTTCAATCAGAAATGAAAAAAAAATAATAACCACCATCTCTACAAATGATAGAAATGCAACATTTTGAGAAACTTAAGCATGAATAGAGAGAAAGCCAGTTCCTCTCTTCAAAATTCTCTCTCTAGTCTGAAAAGACACAAAGTAAAAAGTTTACCAATTTGATGTCCTGGACAAGCTACATTTATCAGTACCGACATTCAATTGCAGGTTATAGCTGGGAGAAACACACTTCAGTAACATAATCAGTTAAACTTGAAAATTAAATCATGAATTAGTTTGTCTGCTGCATGGTCTGCAATTTCAGTGGTAATCTGTTTATTTTATCTCGTAAAATTAAATATAATGTGAACAAAATCCCTCTTCTATAATCCATTATGTCATTATAACAAATAATTTTTATTTTAATTCGCTTATGGGATCGTGAGATGCCTTCGTGATTCACTGCAGTTATTTGTTGCAGGTGGACCCACAATACTATTAGGGACGTAACGACACGTGACATTGTAATTTCCCACAATTGGTGTTGACTCTATGAAAAATACAGACAATTTCAGGTAGATATAGAAAGTGTTGTGACATGGATTATTTAAAATAGATTCATTCTTTGACCTTTATTGCAGCTGGAAAATTATTTTCACCAAATCTGTTTCATCCAAATTAACTCTCACTTTGTCATTCCTGAACAACACAACCAATTGCATTGATATAGTGCCTTTGTAGAATCACAGAATCCCTACAGTGTGGAAACAGGCCATTCAGTCTAACAAGTCCACACCACCCTTCTGAAGAGCATCCCACCCAGACCCATTTTCCCACCCCTGGTTTTCCATGTCTAACCCATCTAACCTAAACATCCCTGGGCACTATGGGCAATTTAGCATAGCCAATCCACCTAGCCTGCACATCTTTGGACTGTGGAGGAAACCAGAGCACCCGGAGGAAACCAATGCAGACATGAGGAGAATTTGAAAACTCCACACAGACAGTTGCTCAAGGGTGGAATTGAACCTGGGTCCCTGGTGCTGTGAGGCAGAAGTGCTAACCACCAAGCCACCGTGCCACCCCAAAATAAACCCAATTTACAAATCACAATGTACTTTATAAACATAATACCAAACAACATCAGAGATATTAAGCCAAAATGACCAAAGGCTTGGGCAAAAATGTAGGTTTTAAAAGGCCATTTTAAACAGATGGAAAAGAGGTGAAAAGTCTTAGTAAGGAAATTCCAGACGTTAGGACCCTGGCACATAAAAGCTTGGCCAGAAATACAGAAGCAATTAAAATTAGGAATGCTCAAGAGATCATTATTGGTGGCATATAGAGATTTAAAGGGGGCAGCAGGCTGTAGAAGATTGTAGGGGTAGAGAGGAAATGAGAATTTGAAAGCAAAAGCTAGAGAGACTCCTGATTAACATTTTAAAAACACATGTATGAATTCTGATTGTCACTTTTGTGTTGAAGGGTATTCCAGGCTAAAGGAAGACTAACCACTAAATGAATGAATCACCTTCTTAAATTAGAATGAAATGCTGCTATTTTATCATGATGTTTCCTTTGAGATTGCATTTGGATTATGAATATTCTAGACAAAGTTAATTTAATTGCAATAATCCTATAGATTTCACTTACACAGGATAGGGTGGATTTCTTTAATATGCACTACAATATTAGAATTGAATTTTCAATTACTGTCCCAATTCCTTTAACTATTGCAGTAGACTACGCCAGCATAACAATTAAACAGACAAGAGGCAATTCAAAGGAAGTGGAGCTCAGAAGGGAATAAATGCCAAGGCCCACAAAAATAATTGCTTGTAGCTAACTTGAAGAGATGACCACTAAAAAGTTCTCTATCTCCAACTGCAACCTTGGTACCTTCTCACCCACTACACAGTCTCCTGCCTGAGTGCTCCTAGCAGTGACAGAGGATAGTAGTCAGGGTAGATTGAGTAGTGCACCTGTAGCCTACCCTCATCTTGTTTGCTGCTTGTACATGTAGCAGAATGAGCAGCCAATGCAGCTCAGATAGAAATGGAGGATGAAAATTAGTTTGGGGCCAGGATCTGGCAGTGCATCTTTTTGCCACTTCTTCAGTTGTTACACTAGTCAGTTTGGAGTTAGATAGCAGAGGAAATTCCAAGCTGATTCTTCTTAAAATGACTAATGAAAGAATTGACCAAAGCATTTGAGAAGCTTGGAAGATTAAGTTTGTTTTTGCTTTCCACATTTTTCTTAAATTTGATAATTTAATAAAATTTTACTTACAGCATTACTTATGCGTGGAGTGTATATTCCAGGAACCCACAACCTAACACATTCCACTTAAGGTGGAGTTGCTCACCTGAAAGCAAGATACTCTCTAGAGTAGAAGAATGGGAGGAGATCTAATTGACATATACAAGCTATTAAAGTGGATTGACAAAGAACACAGAGCGGATGTTTCCCTTGTGGCAAACTAGAATGAAAAGCCACAGTTTTAGGATAAGGGGTGCAGATTTAAAACAGATGAAGAGGAATTACTTCTCTCAAAAGTTGTGAATCTGTGGAATTCACTATCCCAGAGTGCGGTCGATGGCAGAACTGTCAGCAAGTTTAAGGAGGGGATAAATGGATTTTTAATTAAATACAGGTTGAATGGTTCTGGGGAGCAGGCACGAAAATGGAGTTGAGGCTGAGATGACATCAGCCACGATCATATTGAATGGTGGAACAGGCTTGAGGGAGTGAGCTGTCTACTCCCGCTTCTAGTTCTTGTAAGATTAAAATGATTTTTAAAAATTCTAAGGAACCATATAAATCATTATGCAGAGGAGCACAGACTAATAACAATCAGGCAGCATGAATTTGTTAAAGCAAGGTCATGTCTAAATAACTTGATTTCTTTTGAAGAGGAAATAAGGTAGGCTGATGGTAGCACATTTTATGCAGTCTCACATGGATTTTAAGAAGGATTTTGATAAACCCCTACCTGGAAAACTGATTATAACCATGGGTTTCAAGAAAAGACTGAAAGTTTGATCTAAACTCAACTTAGTAGCACGAAGCAAAGGGTAATGGTTGAAGGGAATTTTCGTGACTGGAAGGCTGCTTCCAGTTAGGTCCCACAGGGCTCAGTGTTTGCCTTTCATAGTACGCACCAATGATTTAAACTTCACCGTAGGGAAAATGATTAAAAGGTTTGCATATTGGTCACACTGCTGATAGTGAAGACGAAAGTCAAAAATTACAGGAAGATATGAATAGAATGGTAAGGTGCACAGAAAAAATGGGAAATGGAATTCAATCCAGCGAAGTGCGAGGTAAACTTTTTCAAGGCAGCAAACCAGGTGAAGGAAGCGATATGATGAAAATGAAAGGACAGGTTGTTTGGCATTCAGCCCTGAGGGGACAGGAAATACAGCCATACAATATGATTCACCTGTAACTTCAATAACTTTTTCAGATTTATTTACTCTAGAAAACACAACGAAAAAGATAATTTACATACAGCGATGAAAAGTCCACTTGGTCCATTGAAATTGTCAATCCAACCCTATTTAATAAAAAAAAGTTAGTTAGTTTTTTAAATTCATGACTTTATTGTCTATAATTGATTTTACAGTGGTCAGCAAGGAGTGTTCACAGTTTTCTCACAGTTTGGCACGAGAAGCAAGAAATCATTTGAGAATCTACTTTCATTCCTCTATTGATCATCACTTATTAAAAAAATTACAACGAATTGATTCTGGGATGTAGTATAGAAGAAAAGTTGGCAGCTTACTGAAAGATGAAAATATTCTCTTTTCAAAGGATTAAAAATGCAGGATAATTTATAAATGTAGTTTAGAAGCATTAAAAATGTTTGCAGATCCCATATAAACATTTGTAAATCCTCTTCACTTCTCAGCTTCCATCCATAGATGTTTCTAAAGGTGTTACGGAGACAGAACTAAATAATTATTTTTGTTGGAGTAAATAAGATTGATAGGAATATTATCCAGCTTTGAGTATTGAACCACTTGTGTTTGTGAGCACAAATACATTTTTAGGGAAAAGTGTATGATATATATTAAGCCTGTACAAAATATTATATTACATCTATTTGATGATATAAAGCTGATTAATTTAAATAGAGATACTTTGAGGTTAACTTTAAATAAGATGAATGTTAATCCATCTCTCAGAATGTCTGGTTGAGAAAATACCTCAACAAGCTTAAATCACTCACCATTTACAGAACACAGTTCACTGCCACTTTTATATTTTTCTCGTTACTCAAAGGACCTCATAGATTTTTACTAGTTGTAACCCCAAACTTCAACTAACATTCTTATGCCTTGTTATTGATACTTCTCTCTGGAAAGTGTTGCAAAAGACAAATAACTTTGTACACAGAAAAACATTTTGCGTCTGTGCATTTTATTTAAATTTACATGTTAGGTACAATATTAGAAATCGTGATCAGGGAGAAGCAGTAACAAGCTACAATTTTATAATATTTCAAATAACAATCATGTGTCTTATAAGTGCAAAGACCATGCAATGACATAAGGTCTATGGTCAGACAGCATTGCTTCAGACTTCAGAATGTTCATCCATTCCCACTTCTCCATTCACATTCTCTCTAAGTTGTGTGCCTGTGTGACTATGCAACAGTCTATCAAATGCATTATTAATGTTGCAGTGATTGCAACAAGGTCAGCCAGGTGGACCTCATAGAATATAATTTCCCTGATTGGGGCTGTTAACCTGGTCCAATCAGGGGGCCTGGCTGACAGATAAAAACAGAAGTGTCAGATGCTCTGCTCACTCTGAGAGAGCTGTGTCAGTGTCAAGGATTCTCCATGTTGAAATAAGGGGTGACTTGGTCACAGGATATCTGCCTCTGTGGAGTTATTTCAATTGCAACAAGAGTAAAGCATGGTCCTGAAGAAATTTGCTCACAACAGTTGTCTTTGATTTGGTTAAGCATCTCTAGCATAATGCTGTTATTTGGGAAGCTTGACTTATTTGAACCTGCTGAAGACTGGGTGCGGTTTGTGGAATGAATGTTATTTTTTTCCAGGCAAATGACATTGGGGCAGATGCAAAGCAATGAGTAGTTCTCCTGATAGCTTGTGGGCTGGCAGCTTTTTCAGTTATTTGGAGCCTAACTTACCCTGAGGCTCCAGATACTAAACCCTTCCTGACTCCATTTGACTGCCAAACCTTCCTTCTCTATCTGGATGTATTTATACTCCATCTATGACTTTGGCTAATGCATATGCTATTGGGTGTTCCCCTCCACTGGGCCACCTATGAGCTAATACTCCTTGATGCCATACAGGGACAAATCGCATGTCAATATCAGATCTCACTTGGGACTGTAGAGTGCCAACACACTAGAGGATAATAGCTGTCTCTTCACTTCCCTGAAAGCTACGGTGTTGCATGTGACAATTTCCAAGGCTGACTTTGAGTTGATGCAAAGGTGCTGGGGTGGAGGCCAGGTTATGTATGAACTTTCTGCAATAGCCCAAGGGAAGAGCTAAGCTCTGGTACAGACAGAGAAGCTGGGGCACTTTTGTTTGTCTTCACTATCTTCTAATGGGTGTACCCTGGTCTTATTGAGTCTGTAGCCCAAGTAGGTCACTTGGCATGCCTGGAACATACTTTTCCCTTCTAAGGTGTATGCCTACCTGGGAGAAATGACTGAAGAGTCTGTCAAAGTTCTCCAAGAGCTCCTTATTGGTCCTTGTTGTTAGCATATCATCTACATAAATGGTGACCCTGGGGTAGACCTTGTAAAATGTTCCCCATTGTCCACTGAAAAAGTGCACAAGCTGACAATACCCTAAATGGAAGTCTCCTGTATTGGTACAAACTCTTACAGATATTAGTTGCAGCATCCATCTGGGAATCCTCATCCAATTGCAATTATGCATGGCTCATGTCCAGCATTGTGAAGGACAGCTTTGCGTATAAATGTGAGGGGTTGTGTATTTATCTAGCTGCAAAAAAAAACAGTTTACCATTTCTTTAAAATCCCCACAAAGGTGAACTGACCTGTTTGGCTTCACATCAGCATGACCGGTGCTGCCCATTCTGTAAACTGGACTGGTTTGATTCTGTCGCTTTCCAACCTTCTGATTTCTGCCACTCCTTTTGCCCCTAAGGCAATTGGCACTGGGCAGGCCTTGCAGAATTATGGAATTGCTTCCTGATCAACATGTAAGTTGGCTTTGGCTCCTTTGATAGTCCCTAGACCTTCCTGAAAATATCCAGGTATTTAATTAGGACGTAACTCAGGCAGCCATTTTCTAATCGCAAAATGTTCAGCCCATCTACGTGAATCACACTCAAACCAATTTTGCCCCCTCAAGCTTGGGCCTGAGCCTTTCACTACAATCAGTGATAACTGAACCTGGTGCATTGCAAAAGAGACCAGAATTGATGATGTACCCTGAATCTGTAAAAGTTCAGTGACTTGAAAGAAATGTGGAGATTTGCATATTAATCACTTGAAACCTGCATCTCCTTTCTAACTGATAAAGATTTAACAGCAATCTTAGGTTTGTTCAATACATTTGCTTCAGTTCTATGACCTTTGATCTCACTTATAAATTCTGTCTGATGCCACCTCTCCTACACCTGAAGTAGGAGCAAGGCTTTGAAAGCTAGTGTTTTCAAATAAACCTGTTGGACTATAGCCTGGTGTTGTGATTTTTGACCTTGTCCACCCCAGGTCAACACCAGCACCTCCACATCATGTAAAGTTTCCTTTATGGGTTCTCAGTCTAGCCAACATCTTGCGCAAGCATAAAGGTTAGAGTCCAGAGTGAATGTTAGACTGTTCTGTGATCACTGAAACGGCTGCACAGGTATCGACCTCCATTAGAACCAGGTGACCCTTTAACGAGACACTTGTTTTGATTGGTTCATTTGGATGTTGCTAAGCAATTTAATTGTTCCAAACCAGATGTAGGTAGACTTTCCAAGGTGTGCACACTCCTGGCCTAGGAGTTCGCTTAATCAACCTAGATCCAGTGGGGACTCTTTTGCTGTCTTGAATCTGCAAACCGGCAGCAACTACAATGGCTTGCCTGGCTGGATCCTAAAGAAAATTTTAATTGTTTGGCCAAGGCTCGGTTTTGTTTTGGGGTTTTGCTGTTGGCTGACCTGGAGTCCGTCTGCTCAAGCTATGCCCTGAGTGAGGCTGTGCAATTGCCTTCACTCAAATGGTGTTCCCCCAAACTCAGTCAGATTAGCCAGGGTGTCCGCTTCCATTGGAATACCCTGCAACTCATATGATCCACTTGCTGCATTCTACAATGATAAAGTCCACTTGGGCTTGAGCTAGTAGGTGCTTTTGCATGGTTACATCATTAATTCACATTAAACAGACTCTCGGCATCTCATTAAGGGTTAAGCCAAAGTCAAAATGCCTCTGCCAGTAATCCTAGCCTAGTGAAAAATCCCTATACGGATTCCCCTTGTACTCAGATTGCCAAGTAAAACCGATAGCATCTCAGTAATTAGAGGAGGCTTGGGGCTGTAATATTCCTTAACTAAATCTATCAAGTCTTGGAAGGGTTTAGTACCTGGTGCCTCAGGGAAAGTTAGGCTCCTAATATCTCAATAAGCTGCCAATCTGCAATCTGTCAGGAGAATTACTCTTGCTTCTCATCTGTTCCAATGTCATTTACCCAGAAAAATTGCACATTTGTTCTACATACTGGGCCCAGTCTTTGACAGTGGGATTGAATGAGTCATGATGCCAAAAATGCTTACCCCAAATCAAAAACTATTGCGAGTAAATTTCTTCAGGAGCATGCTTTTCTCTCATCACCACTGAAATAATTCCAAAGAGGCCAGTATCCTGTGACAAAGTCACCCTTTATTTTGACGCGGACAGTCCTTGACACCGATCCAGCTCAGAGTGACAGGATGTCAGATGCTCCTTTTTATCTGTCAGCCAGGGCTCCCTGATTGGGGATGTTAATCTAGTCCAATCAGGTTACTTTATATTCTGAGGTCTACCTAGCTGACCTCATTACAATCACTACAGCTTTCACATTATGAATACCTTCTATCATGCTGTGTGGCACTACCACTGTGCTAAATAGGACAGATTTCAAACAGATCTAGCAATACAAGACTGGGCACCTATGATGGGTTAGGGGCCAGCACTGTAGCAGACCAGGGTGGCTCAGTGGTTAGCACTGCTGCCTCACAGTGCCAGGGACCCCAGGTTTGATACCACCCTCACATAGCTGTCTGTGAGGAGTTTGCACATTCTGCCGTGTCTGCACGGGTTACCTCCCACCTCCCACAGTCCCAAGATGTGCAGGTTAGGTGGACTGGCCATGCTAAATTGCCCGTAGTGTTCAGGGATGTGTAGATTAGGTGGGTTATAGGGGCATGAGTCTGGGTGGGCTGCTTTGAGAGTCAGTGTGGACTTGTTGGGCTGAAGGGCCTGTATCCATTCTGTAGGGATTCTATAATTCAGAATTGTACTCCAGCACAATCAGGAACCTCATGGCCTGGTGGATCCCCACTCAACCATTACCAGCAAGCCAGGGGATCAATCCTGGTTCACTGGAGAGTGCAGGAGGGCATGCCAAAGGCAACATTAGGCATACCCAAAAATGAGGTGTCAATCCGGTGAGGCTACCAATGAGGACTGTTTGCATGCGTAAGCAGCAAGAGATAGACTGAGCTAAGCGATCCCATAGCCAATGGATCAGAGGTAAGCTCTGCACTTCAGCCATATCCAATCATCAATGGGGGTGGATAATTAAATAACTCACAGGAGGAGCAGGCTCCACAAGTATCTTCACCCTCAATGACGGAAGAGCCTAACATATCAGTGCAAAAGATATTGCTGCAGCATTCACAGCAATCTTCAACTTGAAATGTTGAGTGGCTGATCCATTGCAGCCTTCTCCAGTGGTCCCCAGCATTACAGATTACAGTCTTCAATGACATGATATCAAGAAACGAGTCGGCACTGGATATTGCAAAGGCTATCGGGCCTGACAACATTCCGGCAATAGCACTGAAGGCTTGTGCTCCAGAACTTGCTGCTCCCCTAGCCAAGCTGTTCCAGTCCAGTTACAACACTGGTATCTACACAACAATGTGGGAAATTGTCCAGGTATGTCCTGTACACAAAAAGCAGGATGAATCCAATCCAGCCAATTATCATTCCATCACTCTGCTCTCATTCATCAGTAAAGTGATGGAAACTATCATCAATAGTGATATCAAGCAGCACCTGCTCAGCTCACTGATGCCCAGTTTGGGTTCGGCGATGGCAACTTGCTCCTGAGTTCATTACAGCCTTGCTTCAAACATGGACAAAAAAGCTGAATTCCAGAGGTGAGGTGAAAGTGACAGCCCTTGACATCGAGACCGCATTCAATCAATCAATGTGGCACATAGAAACATAGTTGTGGTTATTGGAGATCAGTCGTCCCAACTCCAGGAATCTCTACAACTGTTCCTCAGGGTAGTGTCCTAGGTGCACACATCTCCAGCTGCTTCATCAATGACCTTCCCTCCATCATAAGCTAAGAAGTGGGGATGTTCGCCAATGATTGCACAATGTTCAGCACCATCCGCGACTCCTCAGATACTGAAGCAGTCCATGTTCAAATGCAACAAGATCTGGACAACATCCAGGCTAGGGCTGACACGTGGCAAGTAATATTCATGCCACATGAATGCCAAGCAATGACCAGCTCCAATAAGAGATAATCAAACCATCACCCCTTGATATTCAATAGTATTATCATCATTGAATCTCCCACTATTAACATCCTTGGGATTACCACTGATCAGGCACTCAACTGAACTCACCACATAAACCCAGTGGCTACAAGAGCAAATCAGAGATTAAGAATACTGTGTTGAGTAACTCACTTTCTGACTCCACAAAACCTATCCACCATTTACAAGGCACAAGTCAGATGAAATACTCACCACTTGCCTGGATCAATGCAGCTCCAACAACACACAAAAAACTTGACACAATCCAGGACAAAGCAGCCCACTTGACTGGCACCAAATCCACAAGCACTTACTCCCTCCATCAGCAATGATTAGTAGCAGCAGTGTGTGCTACCTACAATATGCACTGCTGAAATTCACCAAACATTTTGAGACAGCACCTTTCAATCCCACGACCACTTCTATCTAGAAGGTCAAAGGCAACAGGTACATGGGAACACTACCACCTGCAAGTTCCCCTCCAAGTCGCTCACCATCTTGACTTAAACAGATTACCTTTCCTTCACTGTCACTGGATCAAAATCCTACAAATCCCTCCATAAGTGCATTGGGGGTCAATCTATAGCACATGGACTGCAGCAGTTCAAGAAGGTAGCTCACTGCCATCTTCTCAACAGCAACTAGAGATGGATAATAAATGCTGGCCCAGCCAGCGATGCCCATGTCCCATGAGTGAATTAAAAAAGAATATGCATATGAAATGTTGAACAGAAAACTGAGAAGTGGGATTAGATTGGCTGGTTACACACTGTCTTCCATGGTTTGGCCAAATGGCCTCATGTGATGCTACAAATTCCTCTGACTCTATCTTTGTGCAATAATATATTACCACACCAGATAAGCTTCAATTTATTACGATACAAACCACAATGGGGCCATGGCCAAACAACTGCAAGATGACTAAGTGTCATTCTAAAAAGGAACATCAAGCTGGGATAGCTAATTGGAGTTAATGTTTCGGGTCCAGTGACCCTTCTTCAGAATGTTCTGAGGAAGGGTCACTGGACTCGATGTTAATTTGATTTTTTTCTTCACAAATGCTGTAAGACCTGCTGAGTTTTTCCAGCAACTTCTGTTTTTGTTCCTGATTTACAGCATCCACATTTCTTTCGGTTTTTATTTGGGACAGCTAATATCTACGTTGTCATCATTAAATGAACCATCTCTGAAGGGCCTATTTATCCATGCACACCAAATACTTCTCCTCAACATTTCACAACTCCCTATAAAGTACAAGTCTACTAAGGCTTGAACAGATCCATATTCAGAGAAGCTTTACCATCTGTCTCAAACTCTGTAGAAATGAGTAACTGACTCCATCTCACCTCCAGTGACAAAATGGCTTCTGTGACATTAGATCTACTTCAATAGGCATGATAGCTTATAAATTAACTCAAGTACAATTCAAGCATTTCACATTTCAATTTACCTCTTCTTACTTCCCCCCCCAACTAAAAGGTCCTATCCTCCAATATCTATCCAGTGTACAGACAACTAAGATCTTTAAACAATTTTTTTTACTCATTCATGGGATGTGGGTATCGCTGGCTAGGCCAGCATTTATTGCCCATTCCTAATTGCCCAGAGCTTTAATATAAGCTACAAATTGCTAAAAGGAAACCAGGATGATAAAATACATTATGTAAAAGAACATCACTTACTGGGAATGGCTCTTGCCAACTGGCTCCAACAATAGAAGGCCTGATTATGGCAATATTCAAATCCTCACTCTCTTGCTGCACCACATACTCTGCGAGTGCCTTTGTATAGGTATATGTGTTTGGCCGGTCTCCAATCAGTTTGGGGGTGATGTCTTGGATCATACTATCATCCATCCACCTTGAAAAAAGCAACAGAATCATTATATACCATGAGAAACTGCTACAGAATAACTGAGATACAACAAAAGGATTCCTTGATCATGGTTAGCCATCACAAACAACTGGTTAATTAAATACAGGAGAGATGGGGGTCAGAACAAAGAACCTCCTGAATTTTTCAGCCTTTTAGTGATGGAACAAGCAAAGATACAATAAAAATAAAATATCACCGGAGGCATGGGAGGGATGACACAAACGCAACGTTTGTGGATGATCCAAGAAATATCTAAAACAGTATATGTCTATACTAAAGACTATTTTACCATTTTTTTTTCTTTCTTCACAGTTGGAAATGTAAAGAAAATCATTTGATGGATTTTAGACGAGCAAAAATATTGTGACTGTTACAAAGTTCAAATGTCCTTCAGAACTCAGAGGATTAAATAATTAAGCTTAAATGGCTTATGACTTCACATCACAAATGAATGTCTACAATTAATACACTTGCAAAGAAACTGTGAGATCGAAATTTTATAAAAAGGAAATTCTAAAATAATTTACAAAACATCATGAATCAAAAACCTTACACATTTCTTCTTTGTTAAGTATCTGAGGGGAATGGTGGTATTGTGGAAACAGCAGTTTAATGGCTAATTGCAGAGCAATAATGTGTGACAGTGAATTTCCCATACTGAGCCGATTGAGCCTCAAATGAGATGTTCCACTGAAACTTCACAAACCTAAACCCAAACCCAACTTCAATAATATCTGACCATGTCATTATACCTCAACACCGTCTTAATGCTTCAGTGTGACCATGATTTTGAATCAGTGACAAGCACAGCAAGCTTCTTGGCCTTGGTAAAAACAGTATTTCTGCCCTGACATTGCAGGCTCACATGCGGAAAAAAATCTCCCTAGCAGATTTAATCCTGCAAAAGTCTGAGGAAGCTAAATTGAATAATCCTTGAAATGGGCTTGTGGATCATGAAGTGTGGTTAACCCATGCCTATTCAAAGGCACTTCACAGCTAACCATAATAATAGCATCATATAGCCACGCTGAACCTGAAATTGAGTGGCAGCAGGGAAAAATGTATTTGGACTGAAGCAAGGCCTTGAAATGGTGAAGAGATGTTGAAGAACAGGAAGAATCTACAAAAAAGATGACACTGCAGGCCAGACAATGTATCCCAATGCTCCCTGATGCTGTGCTGGAGGCCTTGGTGCAGTACTACACAGGAGAAGAGCTACTCCTCACTCAGAAGCTGGCAGAGCCTCAACGGAAATTATGAGTAGGCAGTGGGAGCAGTAACTTTTGTGGTCATCACCAGCACTCCAGCCCTGAGACCTGGATGCAATGCTGAAAGGAGTTTGATGACCTTACACATTCCACCAACTGCATTACTAGCCTTACACAATGCTGTATTCATCACAGCTTTCAATCACCTACCAACAATTTCTATCAAATATGACTCACTACTCATGTTCACAGTCTCACCTAACACACAGCATCACTGCAAGCTTCAAACTCATGTCATGCATCCATGGCCAGTTACTCAACTGTGGCAGGTACATCACTCAAATGCATTGCACCACATTCACAGGTACACTTCCTCTCTCCGGCAGGACAAGGTGGTCCACTGTAGGGAGCAGTAGCCACCTGTTGTGGGTGAGTGACGAGGCCTAGAGGAGGGGAATGAGAAGGAGTAGGCAGGCATGCCTGTGCTCGTCCTCTTGGAGCAGATAATGTTGGATATCACTGGACTGGCTGTTAGCGAGGTAGTCGCTCGCAGAGTGATTAAAGCCATCAAGAATGTTTCTGTCTAATTCAGCTTATTCACCATTCTCTTGCAATCTGTTTTGATTTACAATCTACAAACAGTGTAGTGACAGACTTTTTGGTTCCTTTATGCCAACTTTGTCCTATGCTTTCATTCTTTTAGATGCTGAAGACCTATACTCAAAATGAACAACTTCACGATTTCCCACATAATACTTCATTTGCCAACTTTTTACCCACTAACTTAACCTACCAATATCTCTCTGTGCCTCCCTCTTGTGACATGCCTTTCCACCTAATTTTGTGTCATCTGCAAATTTGGTGACGGTACTTTCACTTCCTTCCTCAAGTCATTAATGTATATTGTGAACAGTTGTGCTCCCAGCACTGATTCCTGTGGAACCCAACTGGTCATGAGTTGCCAACCTGAAAAAGAACCCGTTATCCCCACTTGCTGTTTCCTGCCCTTTTGGCAATTCTCTAACGATGTCAATGTACTACCTCTAACACCATGGGTTCTTATCTTATGACTGACCTAGGCAGTGTTTGCTGACACTGACAACTGCAGGCAACTATGCCCACTCACTCAGGAATGCACAGTTCCAAACACTGATGTCATTTTGTACCTGTTACTTGTGGCATCATATGCAAATGCATCACTGTGCATGTGCAGCGAAATGTGCACAACTTTTAACCCAGGCTTCAGCGATGGGGAGAGGGTACGGATGCAAATGGAAACCCGTGGTTTCCGCAAAGGGTGGAGGGTTTAGAAGCCAGGTGTAGGGTGAGACAAGGGGAGCCCAGAGGTCAGGTGGGGAGGGAAATAGGTGAGTGACAAGGAGTCTAGGAGTTGGGAGTCCCTCTGTCCCTCCCTCCTTTTCGCACTCACCCCGGCTTTCTACCTGTTCCCCTTCCCCTTCGGTTCTCTCCTCCCTCCCTCTTCCCGAGACCTCCTGATCTCTCTCTCCCTTACTGTTGCTGATCTCTCAACACTTGCCTGGTCCCAAGGCCTAGACCCAATCTCTTAATCCCCCATCCCTAGTCCCAATCCCTTCATCACCCGGTCCCAATTTCTCTTTCTCCCCCACACATCCTGATGTCTCTTCCCACCACCCCCTCCATGTTCTGATGTCTTCCACATCTCCAACCTGATCTCTGATCCTCATTACGCCCGTTACATTCCCCATAATCTGTGCACACGCAATTAAAAAAGGCACATAGCACACATGTCGGTGTCAGCGAACACAGCCTGTAACTTAACTTCTGTGAGGTATCTTGTTGAATGGCTTCTGAAAATCCAAGTACAACCCATCCACTATTTCCCCCTCTATCCACTCTGGTTGAGATTTCCTCAAAAACCCTAACAAATTAGTCAGACACAATTTCCCTTTAAAAAGCCATGCTGAGTCTACTTGATTAGATTATGATTTTCCAAATGTGCTGCTCCTACTTCCTTACTAATTGATTCCAATATTATTCCAACAATAGATGTTAGGCCTATCTCTAACCTCCTCTTTTGAATAAGTTGTTACATTGACAGTTTTCCAATCCTCCCACTCTTCTCTACAATCGAGGGCTTTGGAAAATTACAACCAATGCATCCATTATTTCTGTTGCTGCTTCTTTTAGGATCCTACCATTCAAGTCATCAGGGCCAGGGGACTTGTGTCTCGTTAGCCCCTTTAGTTTGTCTAATACCACTTTTCTAGTGACGGTTATTATACTTAACTGCTACCCTATATTCTTTAGTATTAATGAGATGTTCAGAGGTCACATCACCAGAAACAAACACAAGGTCACTGTTAGTTAAACTCAACTGTTTAGCATGCCACCAGTCCCCAGCTCAATCTCCAGTGATCAGAACTTGGAGCATAGTCAATCTCTCTCTCTCTCTCTCACTCTGTCTCTTAAACCAGATGGCAAAAAAAGTTATAAGTGTTACTTGGTACCTTTAGCAAGTTATTAGAATTGTTTCTTTTCAAATCAATGTTTACTTGTGAGCCAAAGCTTACCTTTCTGAAATTTGCACAGTCCTGTCCCACCTCGAGGAAGAGGCAAATTGAAATTCTTCCAACTGTCGCACAAATCCTCACTTCCAAATATCGTACAATCAAATAACAGTACATCGGTGTAAAGTGTGGGTCTATTGTTGACCATTGAAAAACGTTGTAGTTCCTATCAAACTTACATGTCATGTTGTATTCTGGTAAATTTGTAAGAATACTCTGGGACTTATGATAGCCATATTGGAATTAATTTAACACTAGTGCAATAAATATTTTTATTTCAGCAGGCCATTAAGCATGTAATTCTCAAAAAATCAATTTTATTTGGATTCTCTCAAATACATTAATCATGTAATTGTTTGACATCAATATTTGATAGCTTAAAGTGGTTGTAATATTTGTACTTGAAGGAACAGAATTCCTTGTTTGGGAATATTTCCAAGCATTAGGGCTATCATCTGAAAAAGATTCCATTTCTTTCAAGGATACTTTTAAATAAAAAGTAATCATGCCGAATACTGCCAGTGGCTGTCAAAGTCAACGCTACCATCAATATTTATGTTTGAAGACCGGTCTATATTAGCACTGGGGTTCTGCTCAGACTCTAGCTATACAGGTATTAAGTAGGTCCATCATGTACTCCTTCAGGATAGCAATGACAAGAGAAGGAAACAGTAGCCCAGATATTCTGATGGCCAGTCAATGGAGCAGCACAGACTGGGGTTGCAATGCTAGGACCCTGCAGAATCCCAGATACAGCAATCCCCCTTTTCCAGAAACCTCCGAAAGAATTCATTAACGGCAGAGAATTCAGAATTAACACTCTGGTATGTTAATAGTCAATCAGGAAAAGTTAGACGATTGAAAAACGTAGGCTAACTCCTGTGTAACTATAAAGTTAACCCGACAACTATCACACGCCCCAACGTTGCCAGCTGCACCTGAACCTCACACTTACTTTACATACGCACCCCTTTCACAGGAGCTGTCAAGGTTTTGGCTGTGCTACTTTTAAATCTGTGCTATATATAAATCTCAGAACACTGCAAAAGAAGGTGTGGTTTTACTTACTTCAATGATCCCACTCCGTAGGGAAGCTGTGTTAGTTTTACCTGTGTTCTGCATTTCTGAAGAAACCAAGACTGGAACACCCCAGCTGGAAAAGTCAAGCTCAGTAATAACAGAAAAAGTAGGAACTGAATGGCAATCTGAGTGTGGTCTGAACCAGTGG